GTATTCGAGTAGGTCATCCCAGTTATGGTTCGAGGGAGAGCGATAAAGGCAGCAAATAAATTTGGGTGATGTTTTGGAGTTGAGGCGAAGCCACAGAATGTCCTTCCGGTCTGATTCCAAAGAAAGATCCCTGGAGCAGGAAAGACTGCTGCGGACAAAAGCCACAACTCCCCCGTTCTTTCTCAGATTGGAGTGCACCTCGTAGTTTGGGAAGTTGAGATGGTTAATCGGTGCAGCCTCCGAAACACCCTGTATTTCGGAAGCCACGCATTTTTCGACCCATGTTTATATAGACTTTATGCATTAATTTTAAACGTTCTATCGAATCCTAAAGTTATGCAACAATAAACTGAAACACCCTGTATAGGCAGCAGCGGCAACTTCCATTATAAACGCACTTAAAAAACAATTATTCTTTGGAAAAACGGAACGACAGAATGTTCTGCTTTGAAGACACGCGATGAGTTTTGTTGCATGTCTGGACCCACCTTTAGTTAGTCTTGAGTTCGTACAGCTACGCCCTTTACAAATTAAGACTGCTGAGGAGATATTAAAGGTACTGGTGAATATACACTATTTTGGATATTCGGATCATCGTCTATATTGCAATATGATAATGGTCCGGAGTTTGTTAACCGAATTGTGGAAAATTTGACAGAAATGTGGCCAGGTCTAAAGATTGTGCATGGAAAGCCGCGCCATGGCCAGTCATGAGGTACTGTAGAACGTGCCAAAAATGCTCCTTTTTTATATCGAAGCAGCCGCGCAGGCAGAAGCCTAAATTCCGTAACACCGCGGCGGCTATGAAGATGCCAAGTTTTGCGGCCTGTACGAGTTTATGCTGCCAAAGCGGGTTCTGACCGAAACCTAACCTCCACAACACCGTAGTCTGAGTTACCCAGCGGGGACAGGACCGCAGTGCTGTAAGGGACAGGATGCGTGGTCAGAAAGAGATCCAGCAGGCTACTGGCGTGTGACGAGAAGCAGGGGAAAAAAGTAGAGCTCGTCACCAGCTGGGTCAGCCCTTGAGTAAGAGCGAACGCTTTGACTACACGACCTGCTGCATCGGTCTTGTTTAAGCCCAACCAAAGCTCATTATGGGCATTGAAATCACCGAGAAGGACTACCTCTGAAGCGGGGAAATTGTTTTTCAGGAAGTCGATCTGGACGGCGAGGTATTCGATTAGGTCATCCCAGTTATGATCCGAGGGAGAGCGATAAAGGCAGCAGATAGATTTGGGCGATATTTTGGAGTTGAGGCGAAGCCACAGAATGTCCTTCCGGTCTGGCTCCAAAGAAACATCTCTGGAGCAGGAAAGACTGCTGCGGACAAAAGTCACAACTTCCCCGATCTTTCTCAGATTGGAGTGTACCTTGTAGTTTGGGGTTTGGGTTTGGGGTTAATCGGTGCAGACTCTGAGATTTTTGTCTCCGTCAAGAAAAGCACAGAGGGACGATTGGATTGCAGGTAGTGATGGACAGCATCAGTGTTGCTGTTAACCCCGCAGATGTTCGAAAAAATTATCTTCGATGTTGTTCCCCGCATGGTGTGGTTGAAAATTGTCAGAAATGGTCTGAAGGATTAAGATTCGTTCAACTAATAAAAAAAGGAGCATATCATCATGGAATTAAAAGATCGCCGTACCAAGCAATGTTCGGTTGGGATGTTAAAGTTGGCTTAAGGTCATCAGTTCTGCCTCTCGAAGGAATCGAAAAGATCGAGAATGAGGAGGATTTGGAGAAAATTCTTAACAGTAGCGAGGTAAATAAGACAGAAATCGAATCCCATGGAAATGAAATTACAGAAAAAGCTGTTTGCCAGCTTTGTGACCAGAAGGGAGGTGAAAAGTGTGACTTGTTCAAAAAGAAACATAAAATAGATAATAGTAGGAAAGATACAGTAGGAAGTTTCTTCAGTATTACAGGCTAATAAAATGACAACTTCATCAAATAAAAGATTTCCTCCTTGCAAGGTAGGTGATACCGTCCGTGTCAAAATTTCTGACGTTGGTAGAGATAGAGGAGACTTCCCAAATGTTTTAATTTTGGTACTTGAATGTACTGCTGTCTTGATTCGGGTCTAAAGGCCGTCGTCTCGTCGGTTGGAATTTCTTCCTAACGTTTCGCTAGCCCTAGTGGCAAGCTTCTTCAGAGGTCCTCCCATTTCCGATGCTGGAGCAGATAACCCATCGTCCCAGTTTTTTTCATATCATTGGGTATGTTCAACCATCTGTATTTTTATTACTTGCTTGGTCTAATGAATGTTTCAATAATTCGTGTTAATTTAATTGTTATATCCGTACGAAATAATTAAAAGTTGTAAGTTCCAGTTACGGAAAAAAAATGTTTAAATTGTTATATTGTTTATACCCGCACGAAATATTAGAAATTGCAAAGTTCAGTTACAGTTAGGACAAAAAATCATGTTTACACTGTTATACGGTTATATATTAAAATTGTAAAGTACAATTAAAGTTACAAATAAAAATTGTGTTTTTAATTGTTATACCCACATCGAATATTTAGAAATTCTTAAGTTCAGCTACAGTTACGAAAAAAATATGTTTAAATTGTATAGTCCAGTTACAGCTATGAAACAATATTGTTTCTAGAATAAGTTTTTTTTTATTATTGCGGTTACTTACCTGTAATGACAACGCCAAATTTATTGCTGAAATAAATATGTAATATGAAAATGATTACATTATATTTTCATAAGTAATATTATAAGAGCATCTAATTTTACGAAAAAAAAATTGAAAATAAAAACAGGTTGATAAGTAATATTTTAACAAGAAGCACCGCATTTCGGGTCTTAGCCGTAATAGGTATTATCTAGAAATTTCTCTGGGAAAAATTAAGAGTTTCATTGCTATTCTATATCATGTGACACAGTGTTTACGGTTAGAGTGGTATTTAATCAAAGACGTTAATCCGGCGGTGTTGAGGTCAATACTTAATGAACGTATGGGAAAAAACAAAAGCCAATTAGTATTGGTTGCGATCATGACATTTCAGAAACACGCGTATCGAGGTGTGAAAAGGACAAATAGCGCAAAAGGTTGTCGTAATTGTACACCGAAAATTGAATTAACAGTGGATGTTAAGATATGCTATTCTTCTTGAGGATCTAGATAAAAAATGGATCAAAATATTAAGTAGCAAATTAATGGAATCAAGTGAATTACACGTAAATGTTATATCGCTTATTGCGTGGCAAAATATTTATATTATGCAAAATTCCACTGGATAGACCTATAGACCGACCGAGAGAAATGAGTGGCATAGTTTCTTGTAAACTACATAGCAGATTTTCCGTAGCCCACTCAAATAATATGAAAAACGGCAGGAATATTGCAAATCGAATCTGTCCAAGAAAGCTTTAGCCGTATTAATTTTTTTTGAACGGTCGATCAACCCATGACGAAACTGCATCTCACATATGAAACCACTGGCGCTCCCACGGGGTAGGGGTAAAGGTGGTAATTACCCTCCCCGCCTAGACGAGCAGTCTTTGAAAAGGTGGTATAAAGTAAAAGTCTTATAAAAAAATCTGTAACTTTAAGAAAGGATAGCGGCAACACTGTCAACCCGCTCAGTGCGCATGCGACTAGCGACTACTTTCCAACCAACAGCAGCAGTGGAACAGGTATAGTCTAGTCTTTTATAGTCTAGTCTAGTGTCTAAATTCTGTACCAGCCCGGAGTCCGCAACAAAATTTGGCTGAGAAGTGAACAAGCGGAGTTTTGTTGATCTGGTTGGTATTAACGCTGTTTTCTATGTTCTATTGATTTTTTATTTTCCACGCATAAGCCAGAAAATCAATTTTTGTTTGCTTTTAATTTTTATATTATCAAAGAATCGTGTCTAAAAAATGACTGACGGAAAAATGGATATTTAATATAATTTCAATTACAAAGTGTTTGGTCCATACTCCAGCTATCTATGTCTATTTTGTCTCGGAAGTCCCTGTATATAAGCACTTCAGTGCATTTCATTCATCCGAGATGGCAAATTATATTATTTAGTTTTTGAAAATTGCGTGAACTTGAGAAATCTTGTTTTCCAAACAGAAAAGGTTCTTTGTTATGAGATACGTGAATGCGTGGAAACCAATGATGCCGTTTATTTGACAATATTTGTGTAACTTTTAGTGCTGGTTGACTGCTGCTGTTGTCAGGATGAGTAAAAGGAAATAGAATACCATCGATTGGTTCCTTTCTAGACAAAACAAACTGTCTGATCCACCGGCACAAGAATTACCGGAAAAAGCCTTCCACCTCAAAATTTCTTGATGTTGCACCGTATGCTGAACCAAGTATTGAACAATCGGGTGCGGAACCTAAAGGATCCAATTTTGTTGATGTTCCATTGTACCCCGCCCAGACGGAAATCCTGGGAGCGCCACTATGTGAAACGTGTGATTGAAACCATCATTGCGAATATTATAAAATATATTTCCAGAACTGGTTTATTAAAGCCCTCTTGTGTATAAATTCAAAATTCCCTATCTATTTGCCTCAAAATGTAATTATTTAGCCCTATCCAATATAAATAATTCTTGATCTAAACAGGACACTGAAAGTGTAGCAAAAACATTTTTTAAACTAGAGTTAAACTGAATTCTAGTCCAATTTCAAATTTCTCATCATTTTATGGGTGTTAATTAGTATATGATACAATTATGTTTTTTGAGCACTTCGTATAATTTTCAACGATAATAATTCTTCATGTGAAGGAGCGCATAGACGCGATATCTTCACAACTATGACACAACATTACATTAACACTTGTGCATTTTGAGGTGTAATGGATCATACACTAGACTAGACTATATCTAGTCAGTGGTACCACTAAATGAAAGTAACAGCTCTAGGAATAAAAAAGTCAATTTTATAATACGCACTATCACATATATACACTTTGCACAATTTAGAAAGTTTAATCATAGCATATATATTACATTATGACTTAATTAAGTTCATATTGTTATTTTTCAGGCCTGATAACTAGACAAGAGGCAGAAAAACTTCTTCTGGACGAACCTTGTGGCACGTATCTTGTAAGGCTGTCCGAGAGAATATGGGGTTATGCCATATCTTACAAGGCGAAGGACAAGTGCAAACACTATTTGGTCAACGCTACGCCAAAGTACTGTTTTGTGGGCAAGAACCAGTTAGAATACGACACTTTAGGTAGGCATATTTATTATTCATTCGGAAATAGTTATAATGTGCTGCCATTGTTCAAGATGTTTCATAAGACGAGTAATTTTTGAGCCAGTGCATTTACGTATAACATAATATTCATTAGAAATTGATAATAATAATAATAATAAATGTCTTTATTAGCAACACAGCAATAGGACGAAGTTTAGCCAGTTGGCAACTCTTACACCCAACCCTATTGAGTGCTTAAATGTGTATGTACAATTTAAAGTCACATACATGCAACCTTAAAATAAATATGTACATCGATCTGGCTTTCAAATATGTGAGCTAATAATAAAGGGAAAAAACATACGATCAATTGATAAATACGCGCTATATTGGTTTACCAAAAAGGAAACAGTCAAGAACCAATACTGAACGGATGATAACACGAAAAAAACATAAAGATAATAACAACTAATTATGATACATCTAACAGCTGTTTTTTAACCAGCTTCCTGAATGTTACTACACTTTTGCTTCTCCAGGCTTGTATAATCTCATAGCATTGAAAGTGAAACATTTTTGAAACAATGCCGTGTAGTGCAAAAGCAGTGTCAGATTATTATTATGCCTCAGATCTCTAAGATTAATGACTCCTCTAGTTACCAGTTTACTATGGAGGTAGTTGGGCTTTTTAGTACACAATATCTTATGCACAAATACCTTAAGACTATATTCATATTGTTGATCCATTTTTAGCCATTTCAACTCCTTCATCTTAGAGGAGACATGACTATATTTTCGAAGACCATACACAAACCAACAGCAGTTGTTTTGCATTCTTTGGATCCTACACCGATTCATCGAGTCAAGACAAGGATAGTATAAGGTTAACGCGTAGTAGATGCTGGACATTATCAAACTTTGAACTAGCTTCTTACGCGTTTTAAAGTTCAAAATGAATCTGTTAGCATATAGTAGTCTTAATTTGATGTACGTGGACTTTGATAGATGACACACATGTTTGTCAAATCTTAAATTAGAGTCGAAGATGACACCAAGATTTTTTGCTTGTACCACAATAGGAATGAGCTCGTTGTTGACGCTCAATGCAATTCTCTCCCTTACTCTATTATGCAAATTTTTAGGATAAAAAAGTATACAAGTTCTCTTAATCGGTTTAATCTTCAGCATGTGTCTTTTACAAAAATCGGTGATGTTGGCAAGATCACAATTTATCTTATATGACACTTCATCCAGATGATACAACTCAAAATGAAAAGAAAGCTGCGTATCATCCGCGTAAGTTTGTATAGCACAATACATGAATGTGAATCAAAAGTATATATCAAATACAGTAAAGAACCTAAGACAGATCCCTGAGGGACACCTGATGAAACGGCAACAGAAGATGAGACATCTCTAACTGTCTTTCTAAATTTAAGCGGAATGTCAGAAAGTCCAATATACTTTAACTTACTCAACAAAATTTTATGGTTAACAGTGTCGAACGCCTTAGAGAAGTCAACCATAACTATATTAATATGTTTATCCATATTATCTAAGATATTGTCTGTCAAATGGAGATGTGAAGAAGTTGTATTGTGTCCAGCACGAAATCCAGACTGATGGACAGGGAGTAAATTGTTCATCTCTAAATATTCAATTAGCTGGAGATAAACAGCTTTTTCTAAAATCTTTGAAAAGAAACGCAGTATGCTGACGGGTCGTAAATGATTATGGGATTTTTTACTTTGGCTACAGGAAGAATTATTATTGCTTCTTTCCAGTCATTAGGAAAGCTCCCAGTTTCCAAACATATATTAACAATATAAGTGGAAGACCAGCCGTTCCTCTATAGGAATGAAAGCTGAACTTCGCCTTTTCCAAGTATCACTTCCATATCTCTGTAACTTGGTACCAACGAATAAAGATGATTATTATTATTATTATTATTATTATTATTATAAGTTAAATACTGAAGTACTTCAGGTAAACGAAGACCAAACATGTCCACACCAATACCATCACAGCCTATTGCAGTCGACTTTATAGAGACAGGAATATCTAGGATCTCCTGAACACTTACAGGTCTGAACACAGATAATGTTGAATTTGCATCGAATAAATTATGTTGATAAAATTCAGCTGTAGCATCAATTAAACGGGAATGGGTATGGGTATTTTGAAAATTTAATAAAAAGTGGTCATTAATTTCGTTTGATTCTGATAAAATTAATGGAATCTCAGTATGTTTCTGAGGACAAACGTTCATCATCCTAAGTTGATCCCAGGCTTTCTTCGAATTTAATTGATCAAACCGTGAAGGATCCTGGTGAAATGTAGCTAAAGCTTTATCCCTTTCACTGAAAATGGCTGTCAGCGCAAATATTAGCCAAGGGGCAGGTTTCTTTGTGACGCGCGCTGTCCGAATTGGAGCATGGTAATCGAACAGTTGGAGTAATGTCTCTGTAAGTATATTAACTTTTTGGTTAACATCACTGACATAGAATGTCTCTCATTTCTTCCTAATAGTTTAGTATATACCCGGTACTAGGAAATTCCAAATTATTATATATAATATATATATATATATATATATTATTCAAATAGAGAATTAGAATATACAAAACATCAACTGAACAGTTTCATTCGTAACAGGTGTACATGTGAAAACGTACTTAACTCAAGAAGAAGGGGAAGTTATCTTGTTTTTGTTGTAAGCTGACGACATATTTCCCGGTTGAGCTGCGCTTTAACTATGAGGTACAGTCATCAAAATATTATATATATGTGTGTATGAGCAAAGGAGACAAGAATATTTGCGCCTTATAATGTAGGAGTGTACAGGTGCCTTAGAAAATAAACAGGTATTTTTGAAGGGTTGGATTGATTGTTAAAAAGAAAAAGAAACAGAGCTTGCAGCCTCTCAGTCCATTCTCGGCATGTCTGGGTGGAGGGTGGACTCGAGGAAATAACATCAATGATAAAATCTGCTTCTCGGACATTTACGGGATGATAGCAACATCGATGCTGTTTACCGCTACCTGCAGTCTGATCGTCTTGCTATACTTTCCTTCTGCGGAGACCAAAACTCTCAGAGTCTGCACCGACTAACCATCTTAACTTCCCAAACTACGAGGTGCACTCCAATCTGAGAGTTTTGTCCGCAGCAGTCTTTCCTGCTCCAGAGATGTTTTTTTGGAATCAGACCGGAAGGACATTCTGTGGCTTCGCCTCAACTCCAAAACCTCACCCAAATTTATTTGCCGCCTTTATCGCTCTTCCTCGGACCATAACTGGGATGACCTACTCGAATACCTCGCCGTCCAGATCGACTTCCTGAACATCAATCACCCCGCTTCAGAGGTAGTTCTTCTCGGTGATTTCAATGCCCATAATGAGCTTGGGCTCAAACAAAACCGATGCAGCAGTTGAAGCGTTTGCTCTTACTCAAGGGCTGACCCATCTGGTGACAGGCCCTACTTTTCCCAAGCGTCTCGTCACACGCCAGTAGCCTGCTGGATCTCTTTCTGACCACGCATGCTGTCCCCCATGGGTAACTCTGACCACGGTGTTGTGGAGGTTAGGTTTCGGTCAGAACCCGCTGTGGCAGCAGAAACTCGTACAAGCCGCGGATGCGTCAGCTGACTGTTCTTCGATAACCGAAATTATCCACGTCGGAATGGAGGAATACATCCCTCACACAGTGAAAGTGCCTAAACCAGGGTCCAACGGCTGGTTTAACAAATCGTGTGACACTGCTCGCCAGCAGAAGATCAGGACACACAGAACCTTCTTACAAAACCCCACTGTAGAGAACAGACAAGCCGACGTCGAGTCCAGAAACAAATATAACGAAGCGGTTCGCAATGCCAAAAACCAGCACGATGTAAAAGTTAGGCACAGGGTAATGTCGCAGCGCAATGGCAGTCGGTCTTTTTGGACGCTGGCCAAGCAGGTTGAAAAGAACTTCTCACACAGTAGTCTTCCGCCACTTACGTGTCATTATGGAACTATTGTATTCGACTCAAAGGCCAAGGCGGAAGTGCTAGCCAAGATCTTTGCTGCCAACTCCACCATGGACGTTCTCCCCAACGCCCAAGTGCCGTCAATGCAAAGGGTTCCCTACACTATGCGGGAGGTAACATTCAGACATGAGACCGTAAGACGAGTGCTCTTGTCGCTCGACATCAACAAAGCTTGTGGACCGGACTTGATTCCTGCCATTGTACTGAAAAGGTGTGCAGCGGAGCTTGCTCCAGTTTTTTCGCGCCTCTTCCAGATATCTTATGAATCTTCCACCTTCCCAGAAAACTCGAAATTTGCTCATGTCCAACCCACCCCAAAAAGGATCTAAAACCGACCATACTACAGGCCTACAGCTTGATTAGAGGTAGGCAGTATGGCTTCTGGTACCAACTATCCACAGCTTACGTCACGCAATTGCCTCATCCAGTCTTAGGGTGAGGTTCATGTCGTTGCGTTCGATCAGCTGTGGCACGCTGCCCTCCTAAGCAAACTTCTATCCTATGGCCTCCCAGAAAAGCTATGCAGATGGGTGGCGGACTTTACCTCTGACCTCAAGATACCCGTCGTAAATGACGGGTTCTCCTCTTCATCCCACAACGTCAACGTGGGCGTTCCTCACCAACGGACTTTGCTTCTCAGAGCTCTCATCCATGAAGCCACCGCGCGATGTGCCTGCCAGACAGACCCTCCTGACTTTGGCGTCCCATCCTAACCGTGTCGAACTTCGTACATCCAGAACTGGCCGATACGACCGCTCACTTGTCCCCAGGGTGTCGAGATTGTGGAACAATCAGCAATAGGAAGCTTTTCCTAGTTCTACTAACCTTAGGCAGTTCAAAAATCGTATTAACAAAATTTCTTTGGTTTGGGATCATCATAGCAGCCGCGGTGTTCCGGCATTTAGGCTTCTGCCTGCGCGGCTCCTTCGATATAAAAAAAACTTCAACGCGGGAGCTCCCCAGCGATCGGCCTCAGCTTTGACATTCTTCCTCTCACATATCAATGGCCAA